GTGCTCAACATATGCCCATCCAATCATTGTTTACAGACCTCCAAAGCAAAAAAGTCCACCTTCATCTGAGGCAGTCTATTCCACAGTTCTTACCATTTCAAAGTTCTTCCTAATATTTAAGTGGATATATGTGTGTGTATGTACATATGAATGCAGCTAGAGTGTGTGAGAAACAACTGTACCTCCTGTTTGGATTCTAAAGCAATAGATACTGTCTTTCTAGAAAATCTTCACAGTTGCAGATTAGGATTTTGAGTATTTACATTTCATCAGGACTATAACAGATGTTTTAGTCCCTTCCTTCATATTCTAATATGCCAGTTTAATAGCGCACTTTAGAAAAAGCTGGTTGCTCTAGGGTGGAAAAGCTGGATGTGAAGGTTGTTGCTTAAGGAGATTTCCATTCTGTGTCAAGAGTGGGATAAAGAAATGGTGTTTGGATAAAGATAATTTAACTGAAAGGGCCCCTTTTAAACAAAAAAATAAAATAAATGAACAATGTGGTTTTTTTTTTTTTAAATGAAAGTGTCCGACATATAGAGGCCCTGCCACGGCCCCTAATTCTGCAAAGAGTGTGGTGTCAGCAGAGACAGGGACCTGGGATTCTTGTGGATTGAGCTCAGGATAAACTAGGCATTTGGACTTGAGTGAAGGCATGGGCTCATTCCCACTTACAAAGGCTATTTGCCTTTGCCCTGTGTCAGTGAATCGGTTCCAAAAAGTTCATTGTTTGCACTATGAAAGCAGATCTTTTCATTATTCCCTTGTAATCGCTTCTTTTTTGGCACAATTGTATTCCCACTAGTTTGCACTGTTTCAAAATGCATGTCAATCATCTGTGCGCCATCAATGATGCAAGCAACAACACGGTGAGGACGGGGCCATTCCAGGCACCAAGAGTGGGGCGACTTTAGCAACTTAGCCTTCCAGCCAGGGAACTATATATATATATGTGTGTGTGTGTGTGTGTGTGTGTGTGTGTGTATGTGTGTGTGTATGTGTGTGTGTGTATATATATATATATATATATATATATATATATATATATATATATATATGACAGGCTATGTGTTCCATTGGTTTTGCAATTACTTGCCCCACTGAGCTGTAGTCCATCATAACTGCAAGTAGTTACAAATACAATGGATCCCATATTCTATCAATTTTTTAAAATATATGCACACCACAAGCACAAAGGGGGGGCCTGACTTCCCAAAAACTGAGGAGGGATGGTAAACACTCATCTGCCATTAGTCCCTCGCCTCCAGAATGATGTAATTCAGATCTGTCATTCCCACTTGTTGAATACGCTTTGGAATCAATTCTTTTTAAAAGAACCGCCAAAAAACTAGTGCCAGGAAACAAGGTTTTTTGGTTTGTTGTTGTTTTTTTTTTTTTTGCATTTGCCTTGCTTTATCATGATTGAAACTGAGCACAATAGGATCAGAACTGGTTTCAAGTGGGAACGACAATCATATAACCGAATCAGCAATTCACTTTAAATCAGGGGTAGGCCAAGGACCGGGTTGCTGTCCCTAAGACAATTGGGGGGCTGAAGTACCAAAATAAATAAATAAATAAATAAAATATGCATGCACACTCTCTCAGCCCCAGAAAAGCCATGGCAAACCCCCTGTGGAGATTTTGCCGAGAAAACCCCAAGAACAAGTAATAACAACAATAACCAATATTATTATGGCAGGGGGCGGCAGCAGCGGTGGGGGTGGGGTGGGGGTGGCAGCAGCGGCAGGACCAGGCTGGGGCCGGTCCAAAGGCCTCAGGGGGCCGCATCTGGCCCCCAGGCCTTAGGTTGCCTACCCCTACTTTAAATCATAGTGGGAATGAGGCCATGGCTGACATTTGCTCTTCTCCTCCAGGCAATAAAAGGTCTTAGGCTCCCATGACCTTAACAACTACATGACAACAAGAAGTAGTAAAATGGATTAGGTCCACCTTCCCCACCCCCTCATTGCCTCTTATGCTAAGGAAAGCATAGGAGCTCAGGGGAGACAATTCTATGACAAGATTGCATCTCCTGCCCAAATCTTCTTTCCCTGGTTGTCAGTGAAAGAAAGAACAATCTTACAGTTTGAGCGAGATGAAATTCCAGGATTTCGATTACTTGACAGTCTCTGTGTGAGAGAGAAAATGTGGAGTAAGACCTAAGCAATAAACTTTCCCTTATCATCTGTAGCTCAACAAATTCTGAATAACCTATTGGCATTCCCACTGGTGATGCGAACCTCAGTTCCGTAGTTCTGAAAATACCTTTTGCTTTGCTACCCCTGAACCTAAATATCTTTTGAAGTACAGCCAAATCTGGTTTGGCGAGCAAGAGGTGAAGCCGCTGTGGGTCTCTCCAGCACAGCCAAGCAAGCATTCATGCATGAAAATGACTGAAAGGAGAAAGGGAGTAATAATAATCCCCTTAGGGCTGGAAGCTTCAACCATTTCTTCTCTGCTGCTGTGAAGTAAAGCCCCCCCCCCCCCCCCCCCCGGTCTTTTTATAAAACTTGTGGAGAAGCTTCTTTTGAAATGGCTTCAGGGCAAGGTCAGGACTTCTCCGGAGGCAATGGAAGGTGTAGTAATCATAAGGAGCTCAACAAGCTTCAGCTGTCAGATTGTCATGGATGCATAGATGGAGACGTGGCAGCAGGAAAGATGGCTTAAGGGGGAAGAAAAGCTTACTGGAATACCTTAGGAGCTGGCTTTGCTGCACACTGTATTTAACCTTGAGAAAGAACCCTTTTTAGTTCCTCTCTCCCAGTAAACAGCAACACCTACGCTTTAAATCAGAGGCAAGGAATAGGCTGCTCTCTAGATATTGTTGGAGTAGTACTCTCACTGGCCCTAGCTGTCATAACCAGTGGTATAATGGGAGTTACAATCCAACAACTTCTAGATGGACTCAGATTGTCCACCGCTGTTCTAAAAATGTGAGTTTTTGGAGCTTAAGCTTTGCATGGACAAGAAACTTTCCTTCTGATCCTAGATGATTCATGGGAACAGTGATGTTTTCTCATGGTGAGAGAAAACTGTTCTGCTCATGCTCAAAAGGAAATTCCTTTCCTTCTTACTCCTAAACATTTTCTAGTTGTGGTCCTCCATAATGTTCCTTTTGCACAGTGAGTAGGGTGGTCATCTGACCTACTTCATAGAGCTCAGTCCCCTTTGTGAAAAAGCTCGCCCTTTGCAGACTGCCAGAAATAGTGCAAATTGAGTCCACTGGTGTCATGGCTATTAAAGTGGCATCAAATGGAATTATTTCAATAGT